ACATACATACATACACATATACATGTACATGGACTTGAAGGAAGCACGGAGGCAGAAGAGAAATGGAAAGAAAGGAAGGACGCAAGCGAATGATGGCATGAGGAGGGAGCGTGGGAAGACAGGAACGAAGAAGCAAAGAATCAAGGGAGGAATGAAGGAGTATATACATAACTTATATACATATGCACATACACACATCATCCATGATTATGACTTTGCCGCATCCCCCCATCATCGTGGAAAGCACGGCTATGCTCTGCTACGATCCACTCTTTGCAGCGCCAGCCGTGCAGAAAGCCTCCACAGTTTGTTTTTCTTACTGTGACTTGCAATCGCAAGATTCGAAAACTGAGATTTTTTTACGGATGATATGACAACAGGTTGAATTTGGGAAATTCTCGAAGTGACGGCGGTTGCAGAACCTATACGTCGGAAGTACGGCAATTTGCAGCAGTCGCAGCGTTTGACAAGCACAGATACATTGGTTGGAACTAGCATCATCTTTCAGAGTTCGAAAGCACAGAAGTCGAAAGCACAGAAGTGCTGAAAACTGCCGTATCTTCACGGCATGATGTTTGCAAACTAGGGGCGGGCCTGCCCCACCCATTGAGCTGCCCATGCTTCCCTCCAAGCCAACATGCATCGTGCGAGCGTGATCGTTGCAAATGGCAAGCTGCAGCTTGCCTGTTAGATGGGAGTTGCATAGCAAAAGTGTTGGAAGACAGACGATGCCTATGTCCTCCTCGGCCCTGTGCTTGACAGGCTCATGGTGGACATGGCGGTGAAACTTGGCGTCCGCTCTGCCAGCCTTTCCGGCGGCGCTGGTGACACCACTGGCTTCTCCTCGGCCCACGGATCCACCCATCGAGACAACGGGGCGACTTGGCCATAAGGTAATCATTGTCTCGCCCCTCCCATTAAGATTCTTCATCGTGCTGGCTGCTACAGCAAGGCGTAGGCGGCATGGTCATCATTCTGTGGGTGCTTGTATGATGATCTAGTAGTTCCAGCGACAACCGTGCCCTGAACACAGCTTGGCATCAGCTACTTGGCTTTGTCGCGGGTTCGACGCAACATCCTTTCAGAATCACAGTCCCTCCAGAAATTCGTGTAAGTCCGTTCCATCATTTCGTCCAAATATCCAAAGCGTGTCTCGGGTGTTCAGGACTTCCCATCTATGTTGAACCGGCAAACAGGGGCTGCGCAAACAAGCAGTGTTTGCATGCGTCCGTCCTTTCAACTCTGCTCGAGGTATGTCGGACCATGCCTTTGCATGTTGTTTCACGATACACCTCCGAAGACGCTGGAGATGCTGAGGAATCCAGTCATGTGTTGGATGGTGCTGCCAAGGAGCATTTCAGTTTCAGGTCTTTGGATTTGACCCGTCATTTGTCTTTGAGTGGAGCATTTCACTGTGCCCAACTCTGGCTGCTAAAATTTTAACAGCCCAGCATGTCTGCATGAAAAACCTCGTCGGTCTCTGTGCAAGCGAAGCTGGTTTGCGCGGTTTTCGTTCGCGCAGAAGTTTGCGCTGCTGCGTGTTTGGTTGGCCATGGGCATCATTCTGCATCTCAAGCACTAATTATTCCAGTCATCATATGCTTCGGTTGCCTTTCCTTTGCAAACACTCCGAAACTGGATGCTTGCACAGTTGTACATCTCTTTTGAGCACTAGATTCGGATTTCGTTCAGTGAGTCCAATGACACTGGCAGAAACTAAGAGCTGCAAGACGTGCCTGCTCAGTGTCTCTCGAGACCCGCCCTCCCGGCAGCACTCTCGCTTCGCAGGATGCTGAGGAGGAGTTGCCACTCGGTCGATGAGTTATTCGGGCCGTTGGCTCAGGCTTCGCATGCGAGGCTTGCAGCACAAGTTCGCCTTCTTTCAATACTGCATGGTGGATGGGCTTCTGCTAACCGGCCCTGAATGGCTACAGGGAGGTGCACAGGTCTTCCCTGCCTGATCCCAGGAGCGTGACGGAGCTCAACGAAGGAACCCTCAACGAGCTCCCTCAGGACCCAGCGGGACACCATCCCCCGCACACCCGGATTGGGCTGAGGTCTTCGGTGCAAGGGCCCTCGGAGCCGCAGATGAGAGGTCAACTGGAGTTGAATGCCTCCAAGTTCCGCCCAGGGGGTCTCGCGAGAGTTGGGCCCAGGTGGCAAAGCACGCGCAGTCCCCACAAATCCCCACACTGCTTTTCTTTTTCTGTGAAGACCTGGAGCCTCCCGAAGGATGGCGAGCTGACGGAGGAAGGCGAGCTGTTGAATGAGACTCCCTACGGGATCAAGCAAAGCAATCAGAGCCCTTTCTCAGTGCCTCAGCGACGGATGGTGTGCGGAAGTCCGTAGATGGTTGTATTCCTAGATGTTTGCCAGGGGTTTGCTTCTGAAGCTTTGGAGTCGGCTGCACATCCGGTTGGAGAGTTTGGCTGAGTCAACCCAGTAGCCTTGCTGCGGCTACCCCGCGCAACGCCCGTAGCCTTCGAAGAACCCCTGGCCACTGCTACGATGCAAACTCCTGGCTCGTGCGAGCGGTGCAAAACCCGAAGCCCCAGCACGGCACCAACGACTTCAGTGACTTAGACAAGACTCCAAATGCTGGGCTTGCCGGACGCATCACAAGCGACAGAGAGAGCAGAATGCGAAAGAGCCGTCGCAGGCAGAAGAGCTTTGCATCGTTTGCACATATGCCGAGGAACTAACAGTGCATTCAGTACGAGCGCAGGTGTGCCGAGCTTCATTGGCCCATCCACTGCCATTTGCACACTCGGAGTCACGCCAAGAACACGCCCATTTCACGAGTCGGTTATACAGCTGGGAAGCAGCTGTGCAGTGTGTGTTTGATCGAGGCTTCAGCTGTCCTCTACTGCACATGTCAAAGTCCTAGAGCGTGCGCGCGCGAACGTGACGAGTGGCAAGTTGAAAGCCTCAGAAAAAGCTCGGCAAAGCATGGGCCAAGCCATGCTGGCAAATGCCCCGATGCTGTTTGTCCCCAGAGAGACCTCCAATCCTCAGCTGTGCCATCAATCACCCGGCTATCACCTCCAATCCTCGCTCGCTCGCGCAAAGGTGCACGGCTAAGGGCCCATTGACCATCAGACTCTGAGTTGCGCCGATTCACCGCTCAACGAAGCAGCACAGGCTCCAAAATATCCCAAAATAGTCTGGGAGATTACCATGCTGCCCATCGTCAGACAGGTGGCCTGTGCTTGAATTCAATGACTCGTGCGAGTCACCTGCTCCAGATTCTGTGTTGCACTGTACCAAAAGGCGCCAGGAGTCGGAGGAGTAGGGTTTTGAGGAACCCAGCAATTGCTCACCAGTCCACCTGAAACTTGCGGACTTTGACTTTCGGGCTGTTTTCTGCACAGCCACCCGAATGAACACCTCAGCACCAAGATTCACAAACCAAATGCATACGCCCGCTAGATCAAACATGTCGAATCTGTTGAATCTCCTTTCCCTTGTTGTTGTAGATGTGAGTGGCTCGAAATTGACGGCAACACAGGGTCTCCCTTCTTGTCGGTAGGTGAGTGCCAGAAGCGGAATCGTTGCTTTTTCTAGCAGCGATTTGGAGATGTTTGAAGTTTTGGCGAAGACCGCCATCAGGGACCCGGTCCGCTTTCGCAAATCAGCGCAGTGCTGCTCAGGCAGCGGGAGAAATCGCTGCAACGTTTTTTAAAATTTCAGAACTTCTTCAGCCTAGTTTGAAACGAGATGTGACCAACACAGGCGTTGTTGGAAAGGAAGCATCGCTTGAGTCGGCTTGATGCACGAAGATGCAAGCACACATCACTTTACTATATTTTCATCTTCTTGTTTCTGGCTTTTTTGTCGTAGTTTTATGATTCTGGTTGCATGTTGGAGGTTACTTGACATCAAACCGAGCTGGATGCGCCGGCCAGCTAGTCTTGAGACTAGACTGGTAGAATATATTTAAAGCCGCTTTCATTGGCACAAACCTGAAAAGGAAGCCGTTCGTCTGAATTTAAAACCCGCCGTGAAGCGACCTACGCATCGCCACCGCCGATTTTCTGTGAGAGCTCCCGGAGCTCAGCTCTGAAAGCTCGCAGGCCAGGCACTGCACGAAGTGCATGCCTTGGGAACCGCGCTTCCCCAGTCTCAGAGCGTTGCAGGAGGGAGCTTCTGGGACGTGGAGGATGTCGTAGTCTTTCCTGCATCTCTCCGCAATCCGTGACTGGGGATTTTGGTGCGAAGTCCCTTTGGACCTCAGCAAGATTTACTTGCAGGCCACGGGATTTTAAGGACAACCACCTTTGCAAATGTATAGAGCTCGGAGTCGAAGGACGAATTAAAACTGTACCCATATACCCCTAAAGCACGCTTCGACTGTACCCGTTACCCCCTAAAAGGCCCAAGACCTTCGGAGACCTTCGGCTTTCGGGCGGAAGTCCTCATCCTTCCAGGCCAGCGGATCTGGATGGTCCGTTTCGGAGAGCCTCAGAAAGGCCGAAAATGGCTCTCCGGAAGAACGCTCCATGTCCACTTGGACTCATATATGCATGTATGGCGAACCGGTACGGGAGGTTGGGTTTTGCGACCGCAGGGTTGAGGAAGTGTGGTAATGATCCGCATTTTCTTGTGCGCTTCGCCCAGTCCAAACCTTTAATGTTCATTCTGGCTCCTCTGAGCGCCGCAACTGAACTTACCTGCACTTTTGGCTGCCCCACTTGTTCTCGCTTGTCTGAAGCTGCTAGTACCAAGCAAAATATATCCAAACAGTATCAATACAAGGTTCATTGAATACCTCCCGCTGCCATTTCCAGTTCTCTGCCGACCTCAAAGAGGTACTTGGCCTTTGCGGAGGCTGTTCTTCGGAAGCTCTTTGGGGCCACTGGATTTCTCGCATCCCCCGTCGGGACACGTCTGCTTGTAAGGCTGTGTAGGATTAAAAGCAAGTCCGATTCGCTCACCATTGCAAGCCCCTTTTCCCATTGTCCTGGTCTTGCTGGCTCTCTGCTGTGCCCGTCGCCATGGAAGAAGCTAGCAAGCTGCTGTCCACGATCGAGCCTCGGCTTCGCAGCAGGTTGGCATGACTAGCAGAGGAAAGTTGCAAGCGAAGAGTTGCTTGGACATGTATACGTGAGGTGCAGCATATCTATCCATCGCACAGCATGCCTCAACCGTTTTGACATGAAAGCAAACAATCGATGCCTGAAAGGCAAAATTCGCCTTTGCACTTCAAGATCCCTTCGGGGAGAGCTTACAAGCTCGACTTCTCAGGACCTTGATGATTACACCATCAAGGAAGTCCAGAATGGCTGGGAGACGACTGCGACTTGGCAGGTCTTACGGAGCTCGGTGTCCTGAGGAACTCAAGCTGTAGGGGTTTCGGGTGATTAGCAACGAACTCCAGTCATGAGAGTGCAGCGAACCGGGAGCCTTGCCGAGCACGGTACGAGCTCTGTATACACTCTGCGCAAGTCTGGTCCCGGGCTTCTCTGTAAGATCGCTGGAGAAGAGGCTTTTTGTGGACTTCTCAGAAGCCGTTTCAGAACATGAAGTTGTGGCAACCTCCATGGTCCCCTCTCCTCAGGAAAAGCGGCTCGGAGGGCCCAAGATGGCGGGCGAGGAGGCCGCTCTGCACATGTATGTATATACATGTATATATA